TATATATATATAACCATTCTTGAAAACAATGTTTTGTACATCCTAGCTTATAAACAGTTTACTTGAACTGTAATAACATATTCCCTTCGAGGTTATTATCAGCGCTTTTGCGAATACTGAACATTTAATGCACTCAAATTATTTTGCACATCGTTTTCACGTGCATGTTACATTTTTCTCTTACAAATGTATCAATTTTGAATATTTAAAATCGTATACATTCCTTTTTTCTCGAGTGACTAATGATTAATCTACTTATTTTTAAAACATTTCTGACAAACTGGTTTTGCGACATTTAGCAGAACTTTCTCTGTGTGTTTTCCGATATAGAATTTAAACAAAATTATTAATTCAAAAGACATATTTAATCTGCTAACTTATGTTACTTCAGCGATTTTTTAACTTCCTGCCAGAAATACGAAACTTTAGAGCATTTTGAAATATATGTGAAGTTACACGAAATTATTTAACGTTTGCTAATTTATTTTAATTTTAGATATTATTTTTATTATCAGCAAAATGCGTATTGATTTATCTAGGCTTTAACTGAATTTGGCATGATGTAAATCGACCCTGTTCATTAAGCAGAAGCTCGGAAATAGCGGAGAAGTGATAAAGAAAACTCTACTATAGTTTGGTTCAGTTTCTTGAATTCTTACAGGAAATATTGAAAAACCTTTTCCATCTCTTGTATGATGGAGCTTTCCCTTCCTACGTGTCCCAGAATAATTCTTTTCGTCACTAATATCGTTTGAAGAGAGCATCTCTCATGAGGTGTACTTCAAAGAATTACCTTCCATAACGAGAGCATGCACATGCAAATCGAGGGCCTGCGCTTTGCATCCGGAAGTCAAATCCGCGTCGCGCGGCGCTGCGCACTGCTGCGCTCGGCCGCGCTGCGAAACTGCTCTGGCTGTCGGCCTCACCTGCAGGTCCATCAGCTTCTGCTTGTTCTTCAGCGCTTGCACGCCGGTCGCTTGTTGCGCCTGGAGCATTTGGATCTGCTTCTGAAGGGATTCCGTTTGCTCTTGTTGTTGCTGCAGCTGCCTTTGATGTTGAATTTGTTGCTGAGCGTGAACTTGCTGCTGGTGCTGAAGCAATTGCTGTTGCTGCTGAAGTTGTTGCTGAAGTTGCTGTTGTTGCATCTGTTGCTGCTGTTGTTGCTGCTGCTGTTGTTGTATCTGTTGTTGCTGCTGCTGTTGCTGTTGATGAAGCTGTTGCTGCTGTTGTAAGACTTGTGTTTGTTGAACGGTGGAATTTTGTTGTTGGATTTGCTGCTGTTGTTGTAGTTGCTGCTGATGGAGTTGATGATGTTGTTGAAGTTGTTGTTGTTGCTGGAGTTGTTGCTGTTGCTGAAGTTGTTGCTGTTGCTGGAGTTGTTGCTGTTGCTGGAGTTGTTGCTGTTGCTGGAGTTGCTGTTGTTGTTGCAATTGTTGTTGGTACTCTTGTTTTTGTTGCTGTTGTTGTTGTTGTTGACGGAGAGCTTCTTGTTGTAAACTTTGAGATTGTAAACTAGTCTGCTGTAACCCTGTTTGTTGTAAACCTTGCTGAGATAAAGTCTGTTGTTGCAAACTCGATTGTAAACTATGTTGTTGTAAACCTTGTTGTTGTAAACCTGCTTGCTGTAATCCTTGTTGCAAACTGGTTTGTAATCCTTGCTGAAGGCCAGTTTGCTGCAGACCTTGTAAATTCTGCTGTTGAAGACTTTGCTGCATTGCTTGTGACTGCAAACCGCTTTGTTGCAAACTTTGTTGTAAACTTTGAACGCTTTGTTGTTGTTGATTCTTTAAAGATTGCAACTCATTTTTGAGAAATCCTGAAACGCTGAATTCGGAACGTTGCTCTCCATACTGAAAAAGTGAAAAATTTAACATGTGAACTTATGTGTGTACTTTAAACTTACACTTATGCTCTAGAACTGTGTGAAGAGTAACGGATAACATTTAGTTTGTGCATTATAATAAACGCGCAATATTCCTAAAACATTTTATGCGAATAAATTAGGGTTGTTTGCTATTTTGGTAAAGCTAATTTTTTTACTTCATCACAAAATTTTAATTAAAAAACTACCAACTCAGCAAACGCGAAATACAATGACTATTTCCGATAAGAGGTTGAATGTGTAAACGGTAATTACTTCTTTTTTTGCGTATTTGGAGAACTTAGGAAATACTCTTCTTTTCCATAATTTTAACTTTAACATTTGTATACTACACAAGTTTCCGGGGCCATGGCATAAAGATGGTGCAAAATTGACTTTTGACCGACACCAGTCATAAGTGACGCTGGCCACTCGGCCCTGACCTTGTGCGGGATGATCGTCAATCGCGGGGCGCACCTTTGGAATGGGAGGGCTTGCTCTCCACTCAATAAAAGCGATATGAGCTCCATAGGTGTGTTTTGACATATTTGTATTTAAAAATGCCTCAGCATTACATATGGTAGAGATATATGGTCATGGTTGTTTCGAAAACTATGGAGAATGAGAACAAAGAATGGACAAAAAAGATGTCTTTCTAATTTCAATTTGCGAAAAGATTATTTTTGGAGCGTTACGCTTAGTGGCAGTTTTAAATAAAATGGGTGATTTGCGCGTTTTTGTTTTATTTAGTAGGCAATTTATTATTTCACGCTTATTCGAATCAGCATCCACAAACCTGGGAGCCTGGGCCTCCATGCCCCAGCTCTGACCCGACGAAGCCGTTCAACGCACCCATATCTCCCGCACTCCTGCAACAGACGTCTCATTTATGCATATGATCACAGACGGTTTCCAGACCTACCACGTAATACACTGTAATTACTTTTCCGTAATATTGTACATTTATAATATCGAATTAACTTGACCAGAGGAACGAACAGATACTTTAACGACTAGCGCTCTTTAAGGATATAACAGTCGGCCGTTAAAAAAAAAAGGCGAGATAAAATGAGTTGTAGCTAAAGATAGCGTATGAGTAAGGAAGACTGGGAATGATTGGCAATTTTCAATTTTTTACGCAATTTTTTACATTTTTTACCGGATTCAGTTTTGATAAGAATGATTATATTAATGGAAACTAAATTTATTTAATTATATTATAGTATTTTTATTCGTGAATGTTTAACTACTGAACTTCTATAAATGTTTAACGTCATGTCAACATGTGCCAACTAACCCCACGAGAACCTGAAGGTTTCATCTGAAAAATAGAGAAAGATGCGAAATCTTTTTTCATAGTAATACCGAAGATAATGAAATTTGAAAATGTTTCCCTCCAAACTCTAAAACACATTTTAGACGATGACCATCGTTGTAATAAAAACGATGCTTCTGTGGGACGTTTGTGAGGGACATATGACACAAAGACGGTTTGAGAAGATATGTGGCCGATGGAGGAACTTGCGTGAAAACCATCTGCTGGCGATAACCAGCATCGGTCTTCCTTACACTTATTCTAAGAAGTGGTATTTCTCGTTTACATATTTTTTTATAATGAGAAGATGGCATTACGAACATTATTTAACAACACACGCCCGATAATACAAGTAGCTGACTCAGTTGGTTGTAAACTTCGGTTACCTCCTCGGTTTACAAACTTAAACAGCGTCCGCTATTTGCTGCTTATCGACCTGATGACGTTAATATCTGTAATTATAGATATGTGTACAATAATGACCTTTTAGGATCCAAAACTATTACATTGATACGAAGTATGATGTTAAAGTTAAAAGATAATATCATTTGAGAGAAAAGAATCCAAGACAATTTTTACACAATTACTTCTAGGCTGTCCGGGTGACGCCGCGTCGTTGGCAGAGCCGCGGAAGCCTACGTGTACATATAAATTTTTACACAACGTGGGAGAGGGGTACTTAAGGTCCATTTTTCTATCAGCGACGTGCACAGGCCTTCTCTGCCTCTGCTGCCAGCCGCGCGAGCTGGCGAGGGGGGCCGCGCCGCCGAGTACTTGCCTGTTGCCGTGCGGTCCGTCGTCCAGGAGAGGGTCGCGGGCGCCTGGTCGGCCCAGCCCGCGGCTCAGCACGTCCCCCACTGCAACAGGCGCGTGGACACGCATCGCATATAAGAGGCTGGATTTCATTCCAGTTTCAAGGCAGTGAAGACATTGTGCGACAAGAATGTCAATGGATTGTGATGATGCCATAACAATGTTCATGAAAAACAATTTGAATATTTCATCAGAAATCCAAATTCCAATTTGAAAAGTTACAATCCACTGGCCAACTATAACTACGGCTTGACTGTAACTTGTCAACTCTTTAACTTTTCAAGTTGAAATGTGGATTTTTGAAGAAATTTTCAAATGTTTATTGGACAATTGAAAATTTTCCTTGTTGATAATTGGCAGCACTTAAAGGCGTAAATGCTTAGTTTTAAGAAACATCGTACAAATGAGCATTGTAATCAGTTTCTGAGCCAATTAACCTTATCTGGATCCAGATTTTCGTTGAGGTTCCTTTCACCTAATGAGCATGAACTGAGACGGTTATATGTGTTTCTTCTGAATATGAAATGTAACATTTTCCTTCCCAAACATCACATAAACTTTTTACTGTTTTAGACGTTAAATAAAAATATAATTGTAACTTCTTCCTGAAAATGCTTGAGTAGCTTTAGTATGCGTATAGTTTTATACGATTATTATTTGACTAAAAAAGTGTAATATTTGTTTTATAAGATATCATAAACTTATACTGACGTGAAATTGTAAATTTTTAAAGGTATTCGAAGACGCAGACATGATGATGACATCCAGTCTTTAATAACGTCGTCGGAAAGCAGTCGTAACTCGAAGTATTTTTCATTGATGCATTTTTTGTTACTTTTGTGATTTCTTTTATGAAATAATAAAAATAATACAGTCTATGTAATTCAAATTATGTGCTATTACTACCGTGAAACGATCACTCGTGACAATCAATAATTTAATTATTGGATACTATTTTGGAACAACGAACTAACTTGAATAAAACAGTGATGTTGTGAATGGAACACATGCGCAATAGCCGAGGAATATGGCGATATGGGTTGCAAGTCAATATGATAATACACATTATTACTATAAATAGTATTTGGGTTTTGACAGTTAATTATGTCTAAAAAATTGCTAATATCCTTCAGTGCAAATATGTAGCTCGCGACTTTAGTACAACGCTAATTATTATTCCAAAAACGTTTATTATGACCTAGGCTGTTATATTTTGTAAAATAGGCAATTTTGAGCCAGAATTAACAATACATACATTAAAAAGTTGATAAACAGCAAGGTCCGAAGTTCTGAAATTGAGAGAACTTTCTTCTTTCTTTACTTCCGCAGAAAATTCTCTTTATTACGTCTGCTTGCAATGGGTGGTGTTCCTCGAGTCATTTCACGTTTCCTGTTCCTCTCTATATCGCTGAAAGGCATTGGCCTCCAAAGTCTGGGTCTCTCATTGTCAGTTATAGCGACCTGTGAATGTGGAGGCATTTGTCATTACTTCAACCTGACGAATATATATTTTAGCGACAAATTCAAGTCTTTGAATATTTTGTTGGTGGATTAAAACAGGCGTAATACACTTCTAAGAGCGTTCTTGTTTCTGTGAATGTTGTGTAAATTACATGTCTATCCCAGTTCTAACAATGACGCGAACAGACTTATTTTATTTTTGAAATATTCAACTATTACAATTTTAATCACTATAGATAAAAATAAGGTTATACCAAATTTTAATATTACTTGATTATTTAATATTACTATTTAACTTTTTGCTTAGTTCTAATGATGCTGAAAGAGCCTTTCACTGTTTTTGAACGTAATATAATCACTCGCCCTTATTTTAAAATAGTTTCGTACCTTCTTATATTGTAACCTTTTAAGTTCTGCTCGCCCTTTTCTTTTTCTTCTGCAACAATTACTGCGTTCTTGGTCATCTATTTTTATTTGCGTTCGATGTCCTTACAGCGTATTCCATTACAAACAGCACGTTAATACGTTCTGTGAAGAATGCGTCTAAACAAATTCGCTGCAATTGTTTTTAACTTCTCTTTTTTTCCCGTTCTGAAATAACATCAATGGTGAAGCTGCCCACAACCAAAAATAAGCGGACAAAAATCACAATGCCGCTAATGGAATTCCAATGGAATGCACCTGCGAAGTGAATGGAAAGGTTTTCAGCGAGGCTTTCATGAGAGTGGCCTTTTGTACCGACTCGTTTATAATTGTAGTGCAAGCAACATGATTTACTAATTGGCAATTTTGTGTTTGATATTTTTCTTTTAATAGAACGGCGGTATTTGACTATCACATAACTTCCCTCCCGAAATAAAATTTGTATACAGTTTCTTATTCGCGAGTGCTTATTTTCATTTACTACAGTGAAATTACAAGCAGTAATCAGTGCATGCAGCGAGATGAAGAGTTCAGTTTAATTTAAAGCAAATAACGATCGGACCCAGGGGAAGTTTTTAAAAGGAAGAGTGAATAATCCCAATTTATATAGGTTGGTGGGCAGCAGCCGCGAACTTCCAGAATAGACTTCTCAGCAGTGGTATTTCTTATGCAAAACATATATTTTGGAATGAACGTACACAAATACACGCATAAATGAGCAGGAATAATTTCCCACTTTCGTAAATACTGAATCAAATGTCTTCGATACTAATGTTTGCTTACTCTGAATAAATACTTGAAATAAAGCGAGCGAATAAGATAACAAGGACGCTATTGTTTCCACAGCCTCAAAAAGCTCCTAGTACCTATGGGTATAATTTCAGTAGTGCGAGGATAACTTTTAACTATCAAGACAAACTGAATATCATAGTACCATGCGGGAAACCGGATCATTCTGGAACTCATTTGCGTCTTTTTTTGCTAAATAGACGAATTATGTATTTTCTTTCCGTCATTCCATATCTACCACACGCGCATATTGACTATATAGTTCGTCGACCGAGTTCCACAATTTCAGTCTCAAGAATGGTGATTCCACAGAAAGGATTGTATTCCTACGTAAGTGGTGGAATTCTTTCAAAATTTTATTTGCATCATGTTATTATATTCTCGGTAATGCAACATATGGAGGTTAGTGTGAGTAGATTTGCAATGAAATTCCAATCGGTATCACGTAATGCAGATTTCTCTAATCAATCGGTTTCTTTTCAAATATTTTCGATGTCAGAAAACGGCAAGTGAAAATGAAATAAATCATTTAGGTGATGAAATTATACATTTACAATGCTCTTTGATATTACATGGTTTCCATGCATTTGTAACAATGAAATATAAATTTAGAAATAGATAATTATTTGTTATTGAATATTATGAATATAATACTGAAGAATGGCTTCCAATATTGAAAATACTCGTGGTTGTGAGGGTAATGTTCTAGTTGAGATGAATCTCGTTTCGAGATTAGCAAAGTTAATTCGTTCGGAGCAACTCGATTTACAAAGCGTATGACGCTCGTTACAAAATTTGAATTTTAAGGGGTGTAGGATTTTCTACCTTCATTAAGACGTGCCACTGTAGTTGAATCTTCCTTTGGTAATGAATCTTCATTTCATTGCATTGTAGTTAATTTTCATCGGAGTTATTATAACAACCAATACCACTAAAGTGGTGAGTGTGAGTTCTGTGCAATACTTTACTTGATAACGAGCGCCTAGTTACACGTTGAGAGCCCTGTTGGGATCAGGACATTCGAGTTTCATTTATTACCGCTCAGTTTTGCCCTTGAGGAACTTTGTTCATCGATTCGACCTTCGAAAGACTCAGATTCCCATTTTCGTTTATCTACCGGATACTGAAAGATTGCCAGCCTCGCTGTTGCTTATTTACACATTATGATAAATGCAAATGCAAAGTTTCTCTTGTTGTACACACACATAATCAGTAATATCTCATCAACCAACTGAATGAATGCGACAAAGTAGTTCACATAAAGATGTTACCTAAAGCGAAATGTGATGCAGGCGGCAAGAAAATAGCCACTTATTTAGAGTAGAAATTATTTTTTTCAAGATAAAACATTTTTGCTAGATTGCATTTTACATTCTATAAAAATTCTAATATTTTGACATGTTATCATTACTTTGTATGCCTTATTTCACTGTTTCACGAAAAAATGATGTAGATTTACGTATTGATCAACTTTCTGACCAAATTATGAGACTTTTTTTGGTCAAAATCAAATAGGTGGCGCGAACAATTTACGAACCTACTACAATGGCACAATATAGTAAGTACACATTCCGACTCCCTCTGCCAATGGCTGGTTGCGCTTGCGCGGACTTCCGAAGGCCGCGACGGACAAACAGCCTGCTTTCCGCGCCTCCGCCCGAATTCTATTCCAAGTTGTGCGTGCAGCCGGCCGAGTGGGGGAGCCGCCTGGCAAGCGCACGCGGCGCCGGCGGCGAAGGTAGCCGGGCGAGCCGGCGCTGCTACAGCAGGTCCGGGCATGGCGGGCCTGCCAGCGGCCGGCCGGCGGGGGCGTGGCGCCGGGGCGGAGGCGAGACAGAGGGACGGACGCCGTGCCTCATACAGGTTCCACCCACGCCAGGTCTGACGTCCCCGCCATATCCCCCCCTCCTGACTTTCTCTTGCCACGGCCCGCTCTTCCTCTCCTCTCGCCTTCCGCTTCGCCCCGACTCGCTCTCGACGACCCTCTCCGAACGCCGCCCAACTCGCCAGATGGCGCTATTGATTTGATCTTTCTTGTACATCTTCGATACGGACTCCCTTCCCCCGCCGCGGACTTTCGCCGGCTCCGAATCCAAACGAAAAAAAAGAAGGGAAAATTCGCCATTCAGCGCATTATAAAGGGCCTCCGAAGCCTAAGTTCGCGCGCCACGCAAACGGGAAGATTCTTGTTCTTGCTCCTCTAAACGGGTGAAACGCGAAGCGCAGCACAGCATCGCAAGGGAGAGATTGGAGGCGGATTGCGCGCGCGTGAGAAGCCCCGGACGCAATCACGCGTTGTGAGTGCAACAGACGCACAGCATTTACAAATGAAACACTAGCGGCAGGAGTCAATATAGCCTTGCGTATTCGGGAGACGCCGCGCTCGAGGCACAGATGCCAACGTT